ATCTAGATCTCCATTTAAAAATGTTGTTTTTACATCCATTTGATGAATTTTTAAACCATGAAATGCAGCCACTACAATCAACAGTCTAATGGATGTAACTCTAGTAACCGGAGGAAAAGTATCAAAGAAATCAAGATCAACTTGTTGCTTAAAACCTTTAGCGACAAGCCTCGCTTTATATTTATCTATAATTCCATCCAGTTTAAGTTTTTTACGAAGGACCCATTTACACCCAATAGTTTTACAACCTGGAGGTAAATTCACTAGCTTCCATGTCTTATTTGAAAGTAGTGAATCTATCTCATCATTTACAGCCTCTCTACAGAAAATAGCATCAGGTGATGATAAAGCTTCTTGCATCGTAAGAGAAATTTCTTCCACGTTGTAAAGATAATAGTCAGGACCAAAATCTTTTTCAACTCTAGCTCGTTTACTTCTTCTTGGTTGAATTTGAAATTTTTCTTTTTCTTGAAAAACTTGAGAAGAAGTAAAAGAGCTAGGCATGGATAAAATATCTGCAGAAATTATTTGACCCCCATTATTTCTAGATTTGAAAGGAAATTTATTTTCATGAAAAATAGCATCACCTGATTCAAAAATAATATTATTTTTCATATCAAAAAATCTATAAGTTGTACTATGCAACGCATACCCAAGAAAAGCATAGGTGGTAGCTCGTTCACCCAATTTAGGTCGTTTAGGATCTGCAAGCCTCACAAAGCTAAACAATCCCAAACCCTCAAATAACCTAGATTTGGTTTATGCCCCCGCCACAACTCATAAGGTACAATTTTAGTATTTTTGTGTGGCACTCTATTTATCACATGGCAAACTGTCAAAATAGCATCACCCCAAAGATTTGAGGGAGCACCTGAATCAATAAGCATAGCATTCGTCAAGTCAATTAACGTTCTATTTTTTCTTTCAGCTACGCCATTAGATGAAGGTGAATATGGTGGAGTAGTCTCATGAATAATTCCCAATGACTGAACAAAAGAATTGAATCCAAGAGATTCAGACTCTCGGCTTCTATCACTTCTAATTCTTTTAATCTTTTTACCGAATTGATTTTCCACTTCAAGAAGAAATTCTTTAAATTTCTCAAAAGTATCACTTTTATTTTTTAATAAATATACGTTTGTGTATTTTGAAAAATCATCAATAAAAGTGATAAAATATCGGTTACCACCCCGAGTTAAAATTCTTTCAAACTTACACAAATCAGTATGAAATAATTCTAGCAATTCGGTATTTTTTCAACACTTTTATGAGACCTCTTGGTAATTTTTGCTTTACTGCAAACTTCACATTTCTCAAAAAGTTTTGTCGCTTTAAGAATTAATCCTAAACTACTCATGATTCCCACATATTTACTGTTAATATGACACGAGTGAGCATGCCAAAAATTAATAGAAGACAACATATATGTGGTTAGGAATGGCAACGGGCCGGGGCAAGGCCGGGGATCACCCTCCCCGTCCCCGATCCCCGATGGTTGAATTTTTCCCGGCCCCGGCCCCGATCCCGATCCCCGACGAGGAACTTATCACCGCCCCCACCCCCGCCCCTAACGGGGATCGGGTTTCCCCGACCCCGAAGATTCCTCGGCCAAAAAAAAAATTAGAAAATACAACAATATTCATCATCATCATCAACAACAACAACAACAACATCATCCTCATCAAAACAAACAAAAAAAAAAAACAGATCTGAAAACAAAAAAAAAAAAAACAGATCTGCAGAGAGGGAGTGGATGAGAGACACGGTGGTGGTGGTGTGGTGGTACGAGCTGGACGGCGGTGGTGGTCGGCGATGTCGAGAAGAAAGGGAGGGGATGAGAGACGCGGTGGTGGTAGTGGTGGTGGTGGTGCGAGCTGGACGGCGGTGGTGGTCGGCGACGTCAAGAAAAGGAAGTGGATGAGAAACACGGTGGTGGTAGTAGTGGTGGTGGTGCGAGCTGGATGGCGGTGGTGGTGGATCTGAGAGAGAGAGAAGTCAGTGAGTGAGGTAGAGATGAAGGACGCGGCTGTGAGAGAGAAAAGAGAGAAAAGTGAGAGAGAAAAGTGAGACAGCCATGTGAGAGAGAACAGTAAAAGGGGCATTTGGTTTATATATATATATATATATATATATATGTATATAAGGGGTAAAACAGTAATTTCAAATCGGGGATAAACTGGGCTGGAAAACGGGGCCGGGCCGGGTCGGGTACGGGGCTGGGACACTTATCCCCGTCCCCGACCCGAATCTGTTCGGGGATTGATTTTTTAATACCATCCCCGTCCCGTCGGGGGTATTTTTCGGAGAAAACCCGCTCGATTCGGGGTCGGGGAATCGGGTCCCCGTCAGGCCGGGTTTAAATTAATCAACAAGGAAATTTAAGAGACAAAAGCAACATTTATACTCATCTGTATTATAAGAAGCCACTTTTGCTTCATGTGCCTCGTAGTCTTCATCATTCATCTCCTCAGTTGGGATTTTATTTGGATTCTTTTCGGTAAGAACATATGCAACTTTCAAAAGGCTAAGGTAAAAAAGATTTTTTCCTTTCCACCTCTTAAAATGAACTCCTTTAAACTTGAAAGGCTTGTTGAGATCTCTAATTCCATCATTGGTTTTTTCTAGTACTTGTTCTATGGTTGATCTCCTTAAAATTGTTGGTGAAAATACTAGAAAAAATTATATTTTATTGATAAATGATACAAAGAAAATGAGATACAAATAGATCAGGCTGAGGCACAGATATCTCGTTTTCTTTAAGGAGATCAAGCCTACTGCGGTAGGAAGAATCCAAATACCGATGCAGCAGTCACAAAATTATGACTTGTCCCCTCCAGGATACAACAGCCCAACCACTTGTCGTATGGTTCAGGTCAACTCTGCACAAGAAGGTGAACCCAAAGCTCCACTAAGAAAAATACCATTCTTTGCTAGTAATCTCTCTTGTATAGAAAAAAGTTGATGTGTTGGTGTAGAAAAGAGTAGATGAGAGGGACTATTTATAGGCCATTAGGACCTTACAAGTTACACCAAAATAATGACCATTAACTAAGAGAAAATGGTTATACCAAAATAATGACCATTAACTAAGAAAAAATGGCTACACCAAAATAATAAATAAAGATATTAAAATGGTCCAACATATATATATACACTTGAATGAGATTTCCTCAATTAAATTGGAGATTTTCCTCAATTAAAGCATATCTAGCTCCCCTGCAACAATTTTCTTTCTCTCGGACTTGCCGTTCCAACATGAAGGTGGCTCATTGGGTAGCCAAGGCCCAATCCTCTAATTCTCTTCCTTCCTTATGGGCTGTATTTCCCCATGTTTCTTTTGGGATCTTGTTAAGTTTTGACGTATCTTCTGTTTAACTGTTATATATCTACCAAAAGATATAACGTTTAATTAGCACATATTAATGTGTGTTTGAATAATCTTTGGTATAATATATAAAGTAATTGTTTCAAAACTTGAATTCATAACCTTAAGGTACAAATTTGTGAAATCATTATATAGTCTTTTTCGTATACTTTTTCCATTTGTATATTATTAGTCTCATTTTCTACTAACTGTGCACCATGGCTCGTTTCTTCTCCTATTCCACAAAACACCAAAAGGTCTGCCAATGCTGAAATACAATTGCATACAGTGTGACAACATAGTTGAGGAATATTAGCCGTATGTAGGGATGAGCGATGGATATTCCGATCTGTTCAAATAGATCGAACCAAACCGATCTGCCGCATTTTGGACGGATGTGTGATGACGAGCAGACGGTTGCGGATTGATTTTTTCCAATCCACCTAGTTTTGGACGGCCGGCGGATTTGAAGTTCTTTTGGCCTCAACTGAACCGTCAAACAACGAGCACCCCTAATAATTTGTGTTTTCAATTTGTTTAGATATTATATTTGTATTTTCAATTGAAAAAGAGTTTAGATATTCTGCTGTGTTTTTAATTTATTTTCAATTTGAAAATCTTTTTATCAAATGGCAAAGGTTGATATTTGATATTTTTGTGTAGAAAATATAAGGTTTAATTTTGTCATTTAAAAAAAAATAAAATTAAATAGTTTTTGAATAAAAAAAAGTAATGAAATAGTTTTGATAATGCATGGTTTTCTTATGGATTGTTAGTATAATGATTATTATAGCCTACAAACCTTTGTGAGAGAAGAGTATAATGATTATTAGTATTTGACAATTTACTTGATAATCTTTTGGTTATGTTAAATTGGATTGTTATGTTAAATTAAATTGGATTGATAATCTTTTGGTTATGTTAATCAGCACTCCGACGGTCAAGTCAGTATTCTCTCAAGTTTACTTCTATCTCAAGTTATTTTATCTGTTCTCACATACCTTTCTTTGGTCGATGTTCCTCTATTTATATTAGTATCTGGTCCCACGGGTCGGGCCCACTCTTAATCCAGCGCATAACCGCTTATTCGGCCTTTTAGTCGTATACCAGTTCCTATTCGGCTCCCTGTATGGCCGATTACACGGTCAACTTAGATATTTGGATTTAAGACCCTTTTGGATAGAGCCGAATCGTCTCTGTCCTGATTTTCCTTCAAACAAATCTGGATTTCCTTAGTATATGGTTATTCGGCCCCCACAATTGCCCCCCAAACATCCAACTAACGCCAATTAGTTGGCATGTTTGGTTCTAAACCTGGAAATTCAAAAATGCGGCGCTTGCACTCTCTCCAATACTGAAGCGTCAGAGCACCCATGTTTTTAGAAATCATTATAATTTCCCGCCCCTTCGTACATTTAGTGCGATTTGAAACCGTGGTGTCCCTTCAAACATCTTTTTGTTTATGACTACGTAAGGCTTCTTGGTTGCCTCTCAACATCTCTTTCATTTCACGACCTCTGCAACTTCCGTCCGTTCCCCATTGTCCTCTATGTTCCTTGTAAGTTCTTTTCTTCCTCATTCCAACTCTCATTTCCTTCTTTGTTTTTAGTTTAGAGTACTTTCCATTATGGCTCGGATGGCGAAACATTTGAAAGTCCTTCTTTCTGCATATCGTGTCTCCGCTTTTCGACGCCATTTTTCCATTCCTGGCGACATCCACATGTCACTCGTGGCAGAGAGCGTAGTTGACATGGAGAGGACCGATGCCAGCACGATCATCTTTCCCCTCCTGTCAATCGCTGAGGGTGGAGTCCGTTTCCCCCTTCACCCGTTTTTTAGGGTTGTCCTGCGCTACTGGGGTTTACTCCCTTCTCAACCTAACGTAAACTTTTACAGAATCATAATGGGAATAGTAGAATAAACCGTCGACTTAGGCTTAATCTTGGAATTTCTACTATTCGACATTGCTATGCCTTGGCCAAATCCTCTGGTTAGTAGAGACGCTATTTTCTTAAGGCTAAGGACACCAACCACCATTTGGTAACTATGCTTGCCAGCTCTTGCAAGCGTGTTGATGATGTCATGGTCATTGTCCAAGGCAACTGGGAATTCGGTGAGGGTGAAGATCCCCTTGATCCTGTGCCTAGACAAAAAGGCGAACCAAGTGGCCGTGTAGTCCCATTTTTCCGTGCATGTATTATACATTCTGTAGAAATTTAAAGTATAAAGAGAAATAGAGAGAATTAATTATGTATAGAGAAATAGAGAGAATTGTATTATTGATTGATTTTTATTGATTTCTATTACAATGATTCATGATTCCTATATATAGAAGATGGTGGGTGTGTAGTAGGTAAAGAGTAGGTGAAGTGGAGGTGGTAGTGGTGTAGTGGGTTAGGTTTAGTGGAGTAGGTGAGGTGGTAGTGGTGTAGTGGGTTAGGTTTAGTGGAGTAGGTTTAAGTGGGTGAAGTAGGTGGAGAGTAGGTGGATTTTAACAGCCCCCCGCAAACTCAAGGGGGATAGGAACTAACCAACTTGAGTTTGGAGAGAGTAACAAAACAAGAAAATACATAAAAATAAAAGAGGATAGGTGACACTGTATGGTCGTGTCAGACCATTGGTGAAGACACTGGATGGTGGTGTCATAACGTTGTAGAGGACACTGTATGGGGGTGTCATAACGTTGTAGAGGACACTGTATGGTGGTGTCATAACGGTGTAGAAGACACTGGATGGCGGTGTCAGACCGATGTAAAAGACAATTTATGGGGTCATGTCGGACCGTTATAGCAGACAATGCTCTGACAGTTGTTGTGACAGTTTACGGAGTCTTGCTGGACCCTTGTAGAAACTAACCGGAATCAATGTCGGGACAGTTTACTGAGTCTTGTCGGACCCGTGAAGGAACTAACCGGAATCAATGTCGGGACAGTTTACAGAGTCTTGTCAGACCCATGAAGGAGCTAACCGGAATCAATGTCGGGACAGTTTATAGAGTCTTGTCGGACCCCTAAAAAGTCGCACCCTCAAAAGGTGTGCCCAATCTTTCAAAAGGCGTGCCATCAAAAGGCGTGCCCAATCCATAAAAAGACGTGCCATCAAAAGGCGTGCTAAGTTGTCGGCGAGCGCCGAGCGGCTCATGATGCGCGTGTCTGCCTCTTCGTCAAGGTCTTTATAAATCGAAGCGGAGGCTGAGGCTGAGGCAGAAAACCCGCTAAAAAACTCTGAAAAAAAACTCTCCGTGTTGCTGAGAGAGATAGTTCCTTTTGCTGAGAGAGTGTCTCTAAGAGCTGCAAATCTTGAAACACTCTGTAATACTCGGTTGCCCAGAAAATGGCCTCTTCGTCCCGTAGTCTGCTCACTCTCTTTCCAGACCTCAACGAGTCAACAAGAGAGAAAACTGGTGCGGTGGCCAGTGAACCTCAACCAAACACCTCTGGTTTTGCTCCGTTGAACTTTCCGATGCGGTCGGTGGAGCAAAAAATGGCGGTGCAAACTAATATTGAGGCCAATCAGTATACTCTGAAGTCATGTGTGGAAACCATGACGGCGGTCACAAACTTGTCGCACCGGCTGCAGAGTAGGACAAATGAGGTGCAGCAGTTAAACGCCCAACTGGCTCTGCTCCAACGCATGTATAAGGATGCGCGAGCAGAGATAAGTGTGCTAAAGGCAGAAAACAAGGAGCTGAAGCGGAAGGCCACCGTGAAGCATGGTAATCTCCATTCCAGTTTTGAAGGATGTCACTAACAATTTTAGGGTAGAAAAAACATAGGTAAGAGATGTATTTGGAACTGTTCAAGTATGAGACCTCTGTTCTTACCAAGGTTCGACATAGGCATTTGGTTGCTCTTCTGTTTATTTTTTTGGTTCGGTCCTTTTATTTTCTCCCCAAAATACCGTTGCTTCCATCATTAATTTTGGATGGTGTTGACTTAGGAACCTTTTAAACACACATTTTAACCATTGGGTATTAAATTGACACAATTGGAAGATTGAAGACCAAAATGCCCCCAAGCGCATCTTTGGGGGTATTTTGAAGACCGAAGGGCCACTACACAGTTTGGGAGCCGTTAGTATAATTAATCATTTTTAATGCTATTTAAAATACTTTCAACATGGCAAACCACTGAACAACTCATTGAGGCCAAACTTTTGAATCGATCAATCTGAGATTCCCTCAACATGCTCTCACCAAGTAACACTTGGCCCAGTCCATATTAGCTGCACTTGTGCAAGGAGGTCCAGATTCATTCAATCCACTCAAGAACTTGTAACTTGTAATGCTAAGACGAAATTGGTTCCATGACTGTAAAGCATCAAAGCTGATTCACTCAGTTGATTACCCAAGCATGGATGGCCTGTGATTGATAGAAGGAGTATATGCAAGTAGACTGCTTACGCCTTTGACTTTCCTTTCAATTAGAGGATACAATTAGAAACAATGTTTCAATTATCAGTTAGCTACTATGTTCTCCTCAGACCATCTCCCTGTTTGGTGTACCTTGAATTGGTCTTAAGCAATGGCTTTCTTGCTAATGATTATAAATAGGTCCTACTTGTCTTTTGAAGTATTATGATGGTCCCATTTAAGGACTACTTGTGCTTTTGCATGAACTTTGTTGGATGGAAATTTAAAGTTGCCATTCTTCTGTTTTACATGCTCAGTTCTTTCAACTTCATTGAGCACATGCATATTGCATCTTCAGCAATCTATGAACTCTGCTTAATAATTGAGAGTTATTAGGAAGATTGGTTTTGTTTTGGAGTAAAAGTTAAGGTGCTAGTGATATCCTGCGAATTATGCATAAGCATATGTAATTTTGACTTGTATACCTTTAGCAACAATTTTTGTCTCTGGGCAAAAAAATTGAGGAAGATAGTGCAAAATGACCTACAAGAGCATCATTCTTTTACAAAAACAATTGTCAATACAGTGTTCTAAGAGGGGTGATTGGGTACATATGCAACCTATGGCGTTTTTGCTTGAATTGGCTGCCCTTGGACTTAAACCTGTATTGTGAAACTTTACTGTTGACCTTTTATAGTTGTATGATGCAATGACCCCTACATAGAACATTTCTTTCAGTAGTGTCTTTTGATTAATTTTGGCAAAATTTCCAAGTTTCATTGCTCATTGCTTTTCTCTTAGGTATCAGAACTTGCACTCCTAGAAGAATCATTTGAAGCCAATGTTCGTGACTATACCAAGATAATTCATGGCTATGCAAAGCAAAACAGACTGCAAGATGCTGAAAAGATCCTATTGGCCATGAAGAGAAGAGGCTTCCTGTGCGATCAAGTGACCCTGACCGCTTTAATTCACATGTATAGCAAGGCAGGAAATCTTAAACAGGCAGAAAATACATTTGAGGAGATGAAGCTACTTGGTGTGCCACTCGATAAGAGATCATACGGGGCAATGATCATGACTTACATTAGAGCTGGGATGCTTGATCAGGGAGAGAGTCTACTTAGAGAAATGGAAGACCAAGAAACATATGCCGGAAGAGAAGTTTACAAAGCCTTGTTGAGAGCATATTCCATGATCGGTGATAGTGAAGGAGCTCAAAGGGTGTTCAATGCAATTCAATTTGCGGGCATCATTCCCGATGCCAAGCTGTGCGGTCTCCTCATAAATGCATATGTAGTGGCGGGTCATAGTCACAAGGCTTGTATCGCGTTTGAAAATTTGAGACGAGCTGGTCTTGAACCCAATGATAAATGTGTGGCTCTGATTTTGGCTGCTTGTGAAAAGGACAACAAGCTTAACAAGGCACTGGGTTTTCTCATAGATTTGGAGAGAGATGGTATCATGGTTGGAAAAGAAGCTTCAGAAGTACTAGTTGGGTGGTTTCGAAGGTTGGGGTTAGTGGAAGAAGTCAATCTTGTGTTGAAAGAATATGCCTTGATTCAAGTCAACTGCAAAGGACGTGCTTTTTAATTCAGCTTCAAGCTTTCTTTGCTTGGTGTCTGCTTGGGAAACATGCTCAACCGCCTGCCTCCATAACTTCCCTTTGTTGGAGCATTACAGGTGCGTAATTCTGTCTCTCTCCCTCTCCAATTACATGGTTGGCAGTGGTGGACTACGGGCCTGTTCAGTGCAGCTTCTAGTAAGCTGAAAGCTGATAATTATAGAGCAGAAGTTAAAAACATGTCTCCCCATGCTTCCTAATAATTAGTTTTTCTCAACTTATTTAAGTTATTTCTATCTCATAGGATGTAAGTAGAATCTGGATCAAACACAAATTTCTAAGATAAAAAGCTATAAACAGCTCCATAAGTTGTACCAAACAGCTCCATAGGGTGTGGGTAAGTGTCTAATTCATCTAATTCTAATGGCAATGACACCATGACATGTCTACATTTCATATTTCTAAAGAGCTTTCATTTTGTAAAGGCAAAATTTTGTTTACAAATTAAGATATAACATTTTATGTATAAAATGACATCCTATGCATAGTTATATTATAAACTCGACTACGTATACATACTTGTTGGGTGCATTTTTTGCTAAGCATATCAGACACATTTCCCATACACCCTTATCCACGTGTCAAGTGTCTAATACGAGTACTTTACAAATTTAGAAAAGTCTATATAAAATAGGTGGTGGAGAGTAATATCAAACACATTGATCGTTTTGCTTATCTGATTGCATTTTGCTCTTTGGTTCAGGTCTCTTGGTTAATCTCATTTTTGATACCTCCCATGTCTTGAGTGGAGTGTTAAGTGTTGCTTGCAACTATGAAACTTGCTGAAATGTGGCTTGACCTGCATGTACTTCACTAAATTGAGGTATGCCTTTATATTGTTACCTGTAACTCTAAGTTGTTGCGTGTCCTGATCTGTTGATTCTGTGGCAAAAGCCATTGAGAAATTTTCTGCGTCCACTACTAGAAAATAGTACATCTTGTAACTAGTGTCTTTTGTGGTGTTTCAGGGATGCAAGCTGCTACCAGCATATTGAAAACCGGCAAAACAGGCAACAGAACAATGATGAGCTATGGTAAATTAAACTTGTTTTCCTGCTTCCTGGGTAATGCCGCCTTCTTAGACATTTCTTTAGAGTATTTTTCTCCTTCCAATAGATAGTTATGCAGATATTGTATCCATGAGTTTAACGGGCTTTAGGAAATCCGTTCTTCAATCAGAGTCAAGTCTAAGGCCAACATCATGTCATTACGGCCCATGTCAAAAACCTTGGATTTTAGTGTGGGTAAGCCGATCTCCAGGGAGATAATTGCCTGGGTTCCAAAGCACAAAGTGAACGGCGTTTCCCCAATGGATCGTTTTGTAGTAATGCAATGAGCCCACAACACACTAGGCAACTCTTCAACCCATCTACCTTTAGCTTTTTCCAACCTTTTCTTGATGCCGTCTAGGATGACTTTATTGGAGGCCTCCGCTTGACCATTGCTTTGTGGATATGCCAGCGAGGAAAAGTAGGGTCAGATACCATACGTGTTGCATAACTCTCGGTAGACACCAATTGGGTACCGTTGTTCGAGACAAGTGCTCTTGATATGCCGAATCGTGTTATGATATTTTTTCATACAAAACGCTTAACGTCGACATCTTGAATATGTGTTAACGCCTCTGTTTCGACCCATTTTGTGAAATAATCTGTTACGACAATCAAGAATCGCTTGTTCCCTGGAGCCCGTGGTAATGGTCCGACGATATCAAGTCCCCATTGAGCGAACGGCCAAGGGCTAGTGATAGAGTTTAACTCCTCGGAAGGCAGATGAGTTAAAGAGGAAAACTTTTGGCGTTGTTCACATTGCTTGACATAACACTCGGCATCCGTTCGCATGGTCGGCCAATAGTATTCCTGTGTTACGGCTCGGTGGGCCAATGAGCGTCCTCCACAGTGAGCACCGCAGCTACCTTCATGTATTTCAACCAAGAGTTCCTCAACTTTATCTGGGTGAACACATTCTAAGTACGGCCTAGAAAGAGATTTTTTGCAGAGCTTCCCATGCGGATCCAAGTAGTATCGCAGGGCTTTATTTCGCAGCTTGTGAGCTTCTTTCTTATCCATCAAGAGTTGTTCTGAGGAAAGGAATACAGCGATAAGGTCCATCTAACTTGGACCTGGTTCAATGATGTTAATCAGAACTGGTTCAGAAGAGGCAATGCTCCCCTCAGGGATGAATCTTACTTCAATTGTTCGTTTGATTTCTCAGTTGACGGCAGAGGCTAGGCAAGCAAGGGCATCCGCATGCGTGTTCTGATCCCGAGTTATTTGGTTCAATTGGTGGTGGTCAAATTTCACGAATAAGGAGTTTGTCGTTTCCATGTAAACTGTCATGCGGTCATTTTTAGCAGCATACTCCCTTTTCAACTGGTTAATCACCAATTTCGAATCACAAAAGACAAGCAACTGTCGCGCACCAAGGTGAAGTGCATTCCGAAGGCCGGTTAGCAATGCTTCGTATTCGGCCTCGTTGTTTGATGCATCAAAGCCCAGTTTGACTGCTTGCTCAATTATTGCCCCTTCGGAAGTCATGATTACTACCCCACTCCATAGCCGCGTTGGTTGGATGACCCGTCGCAATACATTTGCCAAATGTCTCCAACATATATTCTCCAGTTGGATTTAGGTTGCACTTGATCAAACTTGAAGTCAGCGAGAGACCCCGTGAATTCAGTTACAAAGTCAGCGAGCACTTGCCCCTTTATGGAAGTTCTGGACAGAAACTGGATATCATACTGGCCGAGTTCTAGAGCCCATTTCGAGACGCGCCCTGATGCTTTTGCGTTACGAAGCGCTGACCGGAAGGGATAGTCCGTTAGTACCCCTATGGTATGCCCCTGAAAGTAATGCATCAGCTTTCTTGCGCCCATGACGAGAGCAAGGATGAGCTTTCCCAATGGAAGATAACGTGTTTCGGCGTCAGCCATTGCTTTACTTACATAGTAGACCGGTCGCTGCTCCCCAAGTTCTTCCCTTAATAGTACGGCGCTGACCGCCTGGTCAGATACCGCCAGATACAGAATGAGCGGATCGCCTGCCGAAGGTGTTTCCAAGAGTGGGACTGATTGGAGGTAAGTTTTCAAGCCGTCCAAAGCGGCCTGGCACTCGGGAGTCCATTCAAAAGCTTTGCCTTGCCGAAGTGTGTGGAAGAATTGTCGGCAGCAGTCTGTGGAACGACTAATAAACCTGTTGAGCGCGGCAGTCATTCCCATCAGCTTCTGAACCTCTTTGACCGACCGAGGAGAGCCAAGTTCTAGAATTGCTGTTATTTGCCTCAAGTCAGCTTCGATTCCGCGGTGGTTAACAATGTAGCCAAGGAATTTGCCGAATCCGATGCCGAATGCACACTTTGAGGCCTTCAGTTTCATTTTGTACTTTTGAAGAATGTCGAATGTCTCTGCCAAATCGGCTAGATGGGCGTGCTTTTCCTTGGATTTGATCACCATGTCGTCGATGTACACTTCCATGGTGCAGCCGAGCTATTTCTTGAACATGGCAGTAACTAGTCTCTGGTAAGTTGCCCCCGCATTCTTTAGCCCGAAAGGCATGACCTTGTAGCAATAGGTCCCTCTTAGGGTAAGGAATGCGGTCTTTTCTTGGTCCTCCAGATGCATGGCAATTTGATGATAGCCTCTGTGGGCGTTCAAGAAGCTCATGCGTTGATGATGTTCCGTTACATCTACAAGTTGGTTTATTCTGAGGAGAGGAAAACAATCCTTGGGACAAGCTTTGTTTAAATTCGTGAAATCCAAACAAACACGCCAAGATCCATTCTTCTTCTTTACAACTACGGTATTAGATAGCCATGTAAGATATGTTACTTCACGAACTGCCCCGGCATCAAGCAATCGGTCAACTTCTTCGACAATGATCGAAGCATGCTCCGCGACTGATCGCCGACTTTTCTGAATAATTGACTTACATTTTGGATCAACGTTTAAGCGGTGTTGGGCCACAGATGGATCCACCCCTGGCATCTCATGTGGTGTCTATGCAAACACGTCGAGGTTGCCGAGTAAGAAGGACACAAGCTCGTTCCTATCAACTTCGCTCAGGGAAGTGCCAATCATGAAGAACTTGTCAGGACCCCCATTAATTTCGACCCGATCCAGATCTTCAGTTGCCTTTTCACTAGGGATCTTTCCAATGTCCTCAAGGCTTTCCCGATTCGGTACTTCAATCGAATTCACTTCCAGTTCTTTTGCCTTCTTCGCAGCAACAAGAAGATGGCATGCATGTGCCGATTTTTGAGAACCCTGAATTTGTTCAATTCTGTACTCAGTCGAAAAACGAAGTAACTAATGGTAAGTGCTTGGTGCGGCTTGCATGGTATGTAACCAAGTTCTTCCTATGATGAGATTGTATGGTGAAGAAAGTTTGACAACCAGAAACTCTACATCTACCGATCTGGTGCTTGCCCGAACTGGTAGTGTGATTTTTCCCAAAGGATACTCCGGGTTAGCATTGAAGCCGAATAATGGGCAATCGGCCGGCAACAAATCCGAGTCCATTAAGCCGAGTTTAACAAACGCTTTGTAGTATATTATTTCTGAAGTGCTTCCCTGATCGATGAGAACACGTTCAATGGTGAATCTGTTGACGCGTAGCTCAATGACGAGGGGATCGATGTGTGGGAGAATCACTCCAACTAAGTCAGCGTCATCGAAACTGATCCTCCCAGTTTCATGGGGCCGTTTTGCTGGTGTGATCGGCCTATGGTGGCTAGGTTGTAACTGAATTGTCTGTATCTCAACTGACGACGGCAAGCTGCATATCATGTGAATTACACCAAGTGGAGATTAGTTTGGCCGTAGGGCTCTGTGTTCGATGGATTATTCTTTCGGACGTGTTGCGCCAGCTTGCCGTCTTGTACCAGTTCCTCCAAGTGGTCCTTCAGGGCATAACAATTGTTGGTATCATGACCATGGTCCTTATGGTACTCACACTGCTTGTCCCTTCTCCGAGTATCAGGAGGTCCAATCATTTTGGACGACCATTTAAAGAATGGAAAGTGTTGAACTTTCGATAACATCTTGCTAGCCGGCTCTGCTAACTCCGTGTACTTTTTGTCTGAGCGTCTTGTGCGCCTGCTGTCCACTTGATATTGTTCATTCGATCGATGTGAACACTGATCATTTAATTAGCGCGAGTCACGCCTTTTGTCTCGTTTAGCCCGATTCTGCAGTTCGGGGCTCCTCGATGGCACAACGCTTATCGGATGAACGATTTCAGGTGGAGCCGTCTTAACAGTTTTCTATCCGGCTTTGACCTGTAGGGCATCATCTTCCACTTTGCAATATTCCTCGACTTTCTTCATTAACGCCCAGACTGTTTTAGAGGGTCGTCTGGTCAACAAACTGCGGAGGGGACTATCAGGATGTAATCCCATCTTAAAGGCGGTGATGGCCATGAAGTCATTGCAGGCGTCGTCTACAAGGTTAAAGCATTCCCAATAGCGTGCCGAATATTCACGAAGGGTTTCTTCTGGTTTAATTTGCATTGCCTAGAGATAATCGACTTGTTTTGGTTGGATTTCATTAGTGATGAATCTTGCCCTGAAGAATTTTTGGAGTTGATGGAAGCTTTTAATCGATACCGACTCCAGTTTATAGTACCATCTAACGACCAGTGGTCTCAGACTGCTCAAAAACATTCGACACATGAGGGCCTCATCGTTAGCATGTAGCGTCATCGCCTGTTTATAATGACGAATATAATCAGTGGAGTTCGATTTTTCGTCGTACAGGGTGAACGACGGTGCTTTGAACTTCTTGGGTAGCACTACGCTTGCAATTCGTCGAACAAAAGGGGTGATGTCATCTCTTGGCGTAACGTCATCAGCGACTACCAGAGGATCATCTGTTACGCCCACCATGGATGTGCTTGAGTATTCTCACAAACGGTACCAATTATGGAGAAATGGTTTGGAAATACTCCAAGATCCAGTAGGCGTTCTTGATCCTCTGATTGCCACCTGAAAAAGTATGAGCACTCCGGTCGGGGGTGTCGGAATCAACACTTCGACGATTAAGTCAGTATCCTCTCAAGTTTACTTCTATCTCAAGTTATTTTATCTGTTCTCACATACCTTTCTTTGGTCGATATTCCTCTATTTATACTAGTATCTGGTCCCAAGGGTCAGGCCCACTCTTAATCCAACGCATAACTGCTTATTCGGCCTTTCAGTCATATGCCAATTCCTATTCGGCTCCCTGTATGGCCGATTGCACAGTCGACTTAGATATTTGGCTTTAAGACCCCTTTGGACAGAGACGATTCGATTTTCCTTCAAACAAATCTGGCTTTCCTTAGTATATGATTATTCGGCCCCCACAACTATTAACTTAAGTCTATTGAAATTGGTGTCTTATTGATTGACTAGTGTATACCCGTGCCTTCAAGCACGGTTAAAATATTGTTTGAATGAAAATGTAATTGAATGTAAAATTATAGGTAAATGAAATAGTGAAAAGTAAACACATAAAGGCTACGTAAAATTCAAGCATAACAAAAGTATAAAATTTTAAGCAAACAACAAAATGTAAGCTGCACAACACATAAACATATAATAAAAATCAGACAAAATACGTCAACCAGTGCTCTGCAATAAATAAACAACAAATTAAGCACACCAGCCTATGCTCTGCAATAAAAAGAAAATCCAAATAACAAATTAAGCACAGCAGCCAATGTTCTGTAACACAAAAAGAATGCAAAACAACAAATTAAGCACATCAACCCAAAAAAAAAGACACAAATTGTGCAATGAACAATTATTTAAATAGATTAATGCGTACACAACTCAATCCTATATGAAAATAAATTATCAACTTAATATAAAAATAACACCCTTCCTGATAAAAAATATATATGGAAGCAAAAATTCAAGCTCAACCAAATAAAAATAGGACCACTATGCTTGGTTACCACTTTTTAAAAAATTCTATTTTCTTATTTTCCGTGTTTTTTTTGTTTTTACTGAATTTTTTTAATATTTTGAGCAATTTTTTTAATTTTTAGACATACCTAACACAAATATACCTAAAAAGTAAAGAAAAAAATTGAAAAAAACCTTTTAAGAAATCACTAAATACCAAAAATATAAAAAAAAAAATACGAGAATTCAGTACATTTTTTGTATTTTTATGTATTTATTAAGTTTTAAAAATATTTTTTCACAAAATTTTTACTTTTTAGATACATCTAAGTAAGGTGCATATACAAAGTAAAAAAAAATGTTTAAAATTTTAAAAATATTCACTAAAAACAAAAAAATACGAAAACCAAAAAACTCAATTTTCAAAAAACTTAATTCAAAAAACTCAAACCAAACACACTAATAGTTTTCTTTAACCTAATTCAAGAGCATATTAGGAAGAAAAAACAAAAAACAAAAAAAAAAGACTATCACCTAATGTGTTACATTTACAAAAAGAAACTCATAGCATAAGCAAATAATAATTCAAATGAATATTATCCAACATACATCTAAACTTAGTTATAAATTTCACGTAGATAAAAAGTTTTACAAAACTATTGTAAGTAATAAAATTCACAAATTTACATGGCATTATACAAGTAGTATGTCAATTTTACAGTATATGGCACTGTGCAAGTAATATGTCAAAAAACAAAAAATGATTGAGGTTCATGCTCCAAAACAAATATTTCAAAGAAAAAACTTAAAATGAAAATGTTGAAGAGCCATAGTACTGAACATGCATTTTCCTTTTCCTTTCCCTTACCCAAAACGGTGGTAATTGAATATATGGTGTTTTGAAAGAAAAAAAAATTATATAATTAAATTGGGCCTACCTCTCGAACCCTAGATGACATTAAGGTCACGTTCATCACGGATGACAACATTAGCATGTCTTTCTTGAAGAAATTTAACCTATAAATACAAAAGAATTAGAGGTAAAAAAAAATTAAAAATTTATACATCTAAGAAAATGAGAAAAAGAAGTCAGTATTACAGTTCGGCATAGGTTTCCATCCATACGTAAATTATAAGAAAAGATCATTTTGTTATAAGGAAATTAGATTAAAAAAATCGTGAAAAGAAAAGAAAATTAACTTCAACTTATAAGAAATGTGTATTTTTTTTTTCAAATAAATATAAAAGAAAACAATTTACGTGACTAAAAATAGTAATGTTGTCCATAATTAGAGGTTGAAGGTCAATGGTGTGTTTGGTTATGTAAATTTGACAAAGGTAACTGTAAGGCAAAATGAGGTTTAATAATTGCCATAAAGAAAAAATAATCAACACAAAATTAACAACCTCCTAACATATTTTAGTTAACAACCCACTTTAAGAAGTTCGTTTATGCATGAATATCACAGATGGAGAAATTGAACTATCTAAAGGCACTGTGTAAATTATGTTAGAATCAAAATGTAGCTGTAAGTTATACACATCATGTTAAAATTTGTAGAGTCTATAGTATTTTTTTTATTTTTGATCGACACTGGAAAAATATAAAGAAATATTATTCTTCTTAAAGAACTTTTAACAATTTTAGTAGCAAATCAGATAATAAAATATAAAAATTAATTTCAAAGAGAGGGTTACAATCAAGATGAGAAGAGCATGTACATAAACAGAGAGATAAGATTTTTACCTTGGTGTTAAATGATTTTTGAGAAGAAGAAACGGAAAAAGTGAAGAATAAGAGGCATGTAAAGTACAGAATAAAAGGTATGCTCCTGCCTAATGGCACGATGTAAATAATAATGAGATCAAAATGTAGTTGCATAGAAATGTAATTTATCGAAAAACATACCAAAAACTTAAGACATTGAGAAATATAAAGAAATATTGTTTTTAAAACACTTCCAACAATTTTGTTGGTACCACACTTTATAGAACTGAATTAAAGATAACAACCCCTAAGCACGGGTACATATATTTGTTGTCTAATCATAAATATTTCATTTTTATTATTCATTCGTTACCAAATAATACCCTAGCCAAAGCTATTGTATATCTATCAATATTTTACAATAAATAAATAAATAATGTACTAAACACCAAATGAAGCACACCAGTCAGTGATATGCAATCTCGAAAAATAGAATTCAAAATTAAACAACAAATACTACACCAGACAGTGCTCTGCAATTTCAAAAAATTAAAATTAAAAATAAATACCAAATAATACACACCAGCCAGTGCTCTGCAATTTTTAAAAATGAAAATTAAAAATAAACAACAAACAATGCACACCATCCAGTGCTTTGCAATACCAAAAAATTACTAAACACCAAATAAAGCACACCAGCCAGTGCTATGTAATCCCGAAAAATAGAATTCAAAATTAAATAACAAACAATGCACACCAACCAATGCTCAACAATCTAAAAAAAATTAAAAATTAAAAATTAAAGTGAAACCTTATAGAAGAAGAGATTCAAGACTTTCCGAACTTGAATATGAGACTGAAATTGTCTTAAGCACCTATCACTTGGAGAAAATATAAAATTTTATTTAGAAGGAACTTCTAGAGGGAAAAAGCTGTGTATTTAAAAAATATCTTAAAAAAAACACCTATTTTTCAAAAAAAATATTTTTTAATATAGAAGTGAATGTCTCTATTTAATCAAATAAACCCAAAATAGCATTGGAATAACAATTTTGCCTCAATATCTTACCATATTGTGACCAGATGTACTAGAAGACAAATTTTATGGTAAGATGTTTTATGAAAATTTTCATAATATCTCTATTTAATCAGATATCTTATGTAAATTTTATGTAGATTAAGGTTCAAGCACATGATTAGGGTTCATCCTAGAGCACATGAAATAAACAAAATGGGTTCAGGCACTGATTCTCTCAGGTAGTTAACAATCAACAGCTAAGAACCTGAAATGTCCGAGAATATCAATTTAAATTTAGATAGGAATTTGAAAAGGAAAAAGAAAAGATGAGGGAAATATAAAGTAATTATGATTCAAACACAACCTTACATACCTAAGCAAAATTATTTTTGTTGATGAAATGGTACCAATCCAATCTTAGATTAATAGGCTCTTTTCAAATGCATGCTCTTTTCAACTATCAATTAGTAACCACATAAATGTGCCAAAAAGCATGAAAAATCATTTCTATGAACATAAAAAGAAACAAACCAAGTTGAAGGTAGTAAATAGCAATTAAGCGCAATGACTGTTTCAACTTTCCATACTGAGTGACAATTTTTGAACATGAAAAATCCATTCATAGAAAAAGACTTATCTCATCTCAGAGCAGAAAAACAAATAGAAGTCACCCATTCATAGAAACACATTTCATTGAAAAAGATTTATCTCATCCCATAGTAACCTATTTCATAAATCGAACAATTTTTTTCAACCCATTTCATATTCATATAATTGAAATCAAAACCATGAAGAAACACAAATATTTATGCCCAACTCAAGGAAAAAAAATTCAATCAACACTACATAAACAAACCTACTTAAATGGTAGCTAAAATGATGTATGACAAATAATAGGGAACTAATAATTAGACCAAGCAACCATATGACAAAACAAATGTTTTGCAATAAGAAATGAGTATACATGTTTTTAAAAAAAATTCGTAAACTAAACGACTTAATTCCCAATAGAAGCCAGGCATCCTATGAAAGAATTGGGATACCTTTAATGGGTTAACATGGTGCATTGAAATGCTACGACCAGCAGCTGCACACACGCGCGCGCGCGCACACACACACAAATTGAAAAATCAAATAGCTCCAACAATTCAAATCCTCCCATAAACAAAATATGAAACCAACCCTTTTGGATCCAATTAGTTTGCTCATGGGAAGCAGCCAACCCACTACCAAAAAAAATAAAAATAAAAATAAAATTAGATTCAAAAAGCAAACTCTTCACTTGGCAAATCAATCCAGCAAACGCTAACTAACTTAAGTCCCCCATCATCTACAAATCAATATAGCCCAAAAACTCCCATTTAGACTTACCCAAAAATCCAAATCACCCAGTCATATTCATTTTGCTTCCAACCTTCAACTGAAAATTGTGAATACGTCTCAATCACCCCCCGCAGAATTGCCAAAGCAACAATACAATTCATAAGACTATTGACACCATAGGTCCATAACCATGTTTATATCAGCAACCTTTACATGAAGAAAAACAATACCTGCTCAAAATGGAGGAACCCCACATAACATAATTCTGCTTCAAAACCTTTGGGGCCATTTAGTACTATCTTTGAAAACTTCTCCCCTGAAAGAAGATGTAAAGGAAGTTTAAAAAATCATCAAAGAACCCACTCAAACCCCATAACATTCTCAACTAAAATATTCAAAGTGACCAATTAAATCAAGAATAACAAATGCATGGAAATAATAAAAAGAATGTCTAATCATTGCCCAAAACATACACCAAGGAATAACAAATGCATGGAAATAAAGGAACTTTGGGTTCTTTTGCTTAAGGCCCAAAACAACAGTCAAATGAAAACATACACCAGGAAAGGAAAGGAAAAATGAAAATAAATATTGGCCAGGGAAAAAAAATAAAAGACATGAAAGAGAAGCTCAGACTTCACCATTCAAAAATCCATGCATAACACAATCCTAGTGAAACATAACATGACTAAAGATATAAAGGAAGACAACACACCAAGGAAAGATACATGCCCTATTTGTGGGTAAATGGTAGCACCAATTTACAAAACTCATCCATGCCATGATGGATATAATTAACCAGTAATCAGGGAAAGATCGATTTAAAATGCTTAGAAATCGGATTATCTACAGAGACCTCTTAAATGCTCAGATGAAAAATCCATATGGAAAAATTCATTAACAATACTGTAACCCATATGAAAATTTCCCAAAATTTCAACAATTTTTTAATAAAAAAAACACTAAGGATAGAGAAAAGTGATTGATAGCATGCTGGTTATTAAGTGAGGATAGAGAAAAGTGAAAAATGTAAGGAATAAAAAATGCGAACATGATCTCTTGCTATTAGAGAGAAAATGGAGGTTAACCAATGACCCGTACCTAAAAATAATCTCAAAACACATACAAAGTTTGAACTATCCATCACAAAAATATAATTCTAACATCGAAAAACACATACAAAATATAATTCAACATATCACTAAAACTAACATCGAAAAACTGTTTGTAGTATGATGTGTTTTTGTGCTCGAAACTTTGGTACCACAATTATGTTAAATAACCACACAAAAAATGTGGACAAAAGAACAATGCATACAACAACACAACTATAAAAAGAACACACATACAACAACACACATGAGAAAGAGTAAGACATGAATTGGAACTAATTAAAAGGAAGCTACCATCCATCTGTTGAACCTCAAATATCCAAGTAGATCATTTTCAGAGAACTTTATTTTTTTAACACAAAAAATAAAATAAAATAAATAAATACAAAGTGAATAGCTGAAACAAAAAAAGGGAAGCCATCAATCACCAAGAATTTGCCTAACATTTAAGAGGGTACTTCACCAACATTAAAGGTTGAAAGTGAAACCACCTTCTTCTTCACTTATGAGGTACCATTATGCATAGTCATCCAATTAAAAGTATAAAGCATGTTTAAACTCCTTCAAGCATAAAGTAAGTTTATGCCATCACTCATTACTCCAGGATGACTAACTAATAACATAGATGGTCTACTGAATTAATTTAGTTCCAAAACCAAATATTTGAAGAAAAAAAGAAACGGCCAATTGGCTTAAAACTGGCTCTTGTTACTCTAGACCACTTTACTATTTTCTTTTTACAAATTCTTTCTAGACCTCATTGAGCCAATCTCAGCATTATTAATAGTCTTCCAAAATAACTGGCAAATCTGAAAGTATAATTTTTTTTTTTTTTATCACAACTTACAATCCTCACTCTAAAAGTAAAATAAAAAAATGGGAGAAGAAGAAGAAGATGAAGAAAGAAAAAGAAAAAAATAAATAAAGAAAGGAAAGAAAGCATAGGCTTAGCTCCTGTAAAAAATAACAGACGATTTTCACCCAATGAAACTAAAATATATTGAGTTAAGAGTCACAAGGGTAAAGGAAAGAAGAAGAATAAAAATTGACTCTAACCCATCCAATCAAAATTTTAATTTATTATAATCACATTTGTTTGTCACATCTATTTTAAAATGAATATACAATTGTGCCTACAGTGTCTAAATTTTAAAATGAAAATTTTAATTGATTATAAGCACTGGTAGAGTTATAGGGTGTGAAAAAAGTAATAGGCAAAGTTATTTTATTGAATCAACATAATCTAAATTTCTCTTCCACCCCCAAAAAAGAAACTCAATAAATAAACTTCTAGTTCCCCAAACAAAGATCCAAAATTGTGAAGAAAAAAAAAAGAAGCTCACATCTATTTTAAAATGAATATACAATTGTGCCTAGTGTCTAAATTTTAAAATGAAAATTTTAATAGTTTATAAGCACTGGTAGAGTTATAGGGTGTGAAAAAAGTAATAGGCAAAGTTATTTCTTGAAACTCCCCCAAAAAAGAATATACAAAGTTATTTCTCTTCCACCCCCAAAAAAGAAACTCAATAAATAAACTTCTAGTTTCCCACACAAAGATCCAAAATTGTGAAGAAAAAAAAAAGACTCACTTGTTCAATGGACCGTTGTGCCATTGCTCTCTATTTATTGAAACATTCACTAATAGACCCACACAACACTTCCATTCATTGTATAACTTGAATTTTTCAAGTCTAATCAAAACAAAGTAAAACATCTTGTTTTTGAAAAACAATAAAATCAAACATGAAGGCATTCTAAAATTATCACAATGATTATCAGCAAAATTGTATAAAATTCAAAAATTAAAATAGAAGACCCAAATTATCACCATAAAAAAATCAAGTACGCGCTCTTCTTGGTTCTGAACCTAGTTGAACAAAATTTAAGATTCTTAATTTTCACATGTAAAAATTTAAGATTCTTAATTTTCACAACATGTAAAATGAAGCCAAGTTGAACAATAGATAAGAAACAAATTACCTAATCAACCATTGTAGCGAACAAAGCCATAACAACTTTTTATGAGCTAATCAAACACTCATTCACCAAGGCATATGTACCTGAAGCAAAAGGAAGAATAGAAAATATAAGTAAGCAAGTTCCATTATCCATTATCCAAAATCAACTCCCTAAAAATTGCCCACTATTTGTTATTAAAAATAAGATCCAACTCTCACTGTTTGATTCACCAATTTGAATATACCTCTATTTTTGTTAACCTTACCAAATATCCAAGGCATGTATCATTCACTATTTGGGGGGGAAATGTAGAAAATGATAGATTCACTCACTAAGATAACTTTGATCAATTAGGACATCCGCATTACCAACACTAAGTGCATTCAAGCACTGTTAATCAAACTCTCTATAGGAAAGGTTGTTTAATCATTTACTTGGCATGTCATGATAGATTCACTCACTATTTGAACAACAAAAAAGTATAATTATATAAGCAGTTGGTTTAACCAAAAGATAATAAACTATTTTAATTAAGGCATTTTACAGAACATCCAAAATTTGACCATTAAAAACAATCGCCACAACTTTCTAGCAAAATTTGCAATTAGTTACCTAACCAAAGCTAATGATCAAGAAGATAACCAACAATTTTATAGCAATTAAGATAGACTCATTCCAAAATAAGAACATCAGCACTTGAACAGAACATCAGCAATTAACCAACAATTTCATTTTCTTTACTGTTGCTGCCACTTTCTCGGCAACCAAACAGGATTGAAATATTTCTGTGTTGATAACAAACAAACAAAAAAAATAAATAAAAATAGAAAAACAAACCCAAATAAAAGAGGGGGAAAAAAGTGAGAGATAAAAACCCAAATAAAAACCCTAGATTCTTCCCCCCAAAAAAAAACAAGGAGGATAGCTTTCTACCTTGGAGCTGCATAGAGAGAGAGGAGGCACAGATTGAGGCAGATGGTAGAAATCACCATCGGGGCTATATTCCGGAAATCACCATAGGAGATCAAACTTGTAGAGAGAGAAAGCTTGGTAGAAAGAGGAAGATGTGTGGTGAGAAGAGGAAGGAGAAGAGGAAGAGGTATGAGAGAGAATGGAGTTTCAAATTTTGAAATCAAAATCAGAGAGAGAAAGAGTGAAGATAAGATGTCTGTGTGATTCAATTCTGAGGGTGAGAAAAAATAAGGGACAGAGAGAGAGAAACATTTTCACCCAAATGATCCCAGAAATACCAAACTGATCGGAAGCATTAATATTCACCCAAAAAAATCTGAACCATTGAAATGTCCAAAGGAGAGTGAGACATTTTCAACCATTGGATTGAATCAATCTGATGGTGTATATTTTGACAAATAAACAAAAGTTTCATAAAGATTCAAAAACCCTTCTCCCTTATTATATAGATAAGTCATGTTTAATTAAGTTGTAAGTATAGTTTGATTGAGTAGTAAGTGAAAACTCAATAAGTAATAACCAAAGTCTAATAGAGTAATAAGTGGAAATTGAAATATTTCATTGACTAATAACTTTTTGTATGGTAGAACTTTTCGTAAATGGAAGATCTCCGGGAAACTTTACCTAGGAAGATTTCTTTTTTATAAATATACTTAGGAATATCTCTCATTTATCAACATTTATTACTAACAATAAATGAATACATTTACAAAAATTATTATTCTTTACCTATTACAGCATGAACAACATTTATTAAAAACAATAAATGAATACATCTAAATTAGTTAATTAAGAAAAAATGGAAAACCTCCCGATTCATTTGCACACACTATGAACAATAGTGTTTTTCTCTATAATTTTTTTACAAAGGATAAGTGAAAGAGGGTGATTTTGATTTTCACAAATTCAATGCATTCTCCAGGGAATAATCTATCTATGTCTCTAACAATGTTTTATTTTAACATAATGTGGTATTTTTAATTTTTAAGATTTTGTTGGAATAACATTTCACCTAATTGAAGGAAAAAAAACCATTGAATAGTAAGTGGAGTCTTATTGTGTAGTAAGTGAAATATTATTAAGTAGTAAATAGAGTTTAATTGAGTAGTAAGTGAAACACCATTAACTAGTAGGTGCAGTTAATTGAGTAGTAAGTGAAGTCAGATGAAATAGTAAGTCAAGTATGATGAAGTAGTAAGCATAGTCTCATTAAGTAGTAAGTAAGGTTTAATATAGTAGTAAGCAAAACCTAATAAAATATTAAGTGGGATTTAATATAGTAGTAAGTCATGTTTGATTAAGTTGTAAGTCAAATTTGATGGAGTCGTAAATGGAGTATCAATGAGTAGTAAGCTGAGTAACATTGACTGGTAAGTAGAGTCTAATGAAATAGTAAGTCTTATTAAGTAGAAAATCAGATTTAATTGAGTAGTAAATTAAGTAAAATGAAGTGGTGTCTTCTTAAGTACTAAGCTAAGTCTAATCAATTATTATATTTTTACATTTTATTTAAAATTCATGGGTCTTGTTTAATAATTTAAAATTTATATTTCTAATTATTATTGACCATTCATTGTGACTATACTTACAATTTGTTCTTATTCTACTTAGGAGTGTTTTGGGAACAAGCTAAAAAAACTAACTTTATAACTTTTTTACACAAAAAAATCATAAAACAGTCAATTTTTTTTTTTTTTTTTATACAAAAAAGGCACAAAAAGCTAAAAAAGTCAAAATGTCAAACTTTTAACTAACTTTCCAAAACACCCCTTACTATTCTACTTAAGAATCAATAGTAACAGAGGTTTATTGAGTAGTAGTCATATTTGATTGAGTACAAGTCAAGTTTGTTAGAGTAGCAAATACACAATTAACGAGTGGTAAGTAGAGTATCAATGAGTAGTAAATGGAGTCTCATTAATTAGTAAGTTAGGTTTAATTTAGTAGGAAGTAGAGTCTCATTAAGTAGTAAGTGAGACAATAGTAAGTTGAGTATCATTAAGTAGTAAGCAAAGTTTGATTGGGTAATAATTAAGTTGAATATTATTAAGTAGTAAGTGGTGTTTAATTAAATAGTAAGTAAAGCATAATAAAATAGGAAGTAGATGCTCATTGAATAGTAAATGGAGTTTTATTACCATTCAAAAACACAACACTTACCATTCATTCTCATTCTATTTACAACTCTTTGTGACTCAACTTACCACTTACCATCCATTTTATCACCTAATATTGTACTTAAAATTTTTTACTTGTTATTTCCTAATTAATTTGTTTATGTTTATTACCTATAAAGCATGGACACGGCAAAATAGAAGCCGTGGCGGTGTCGGAAACGGGGACACGCCGGGGACACGGGAACACGCTGGGGACACGGCATCTGGCGTGTCCCCTTAATTTAATCTATTTTTTTGCAGGGGACACGCGTGTCCAGAATCATGGCGTTCTGGACACGCCATGGACACGGCAAGAAGAGTTAATGAAAGGGAAAACGAGGACAAACCTGGTCGGTGACGATCCAGAGCCCTTCGACTTCGATCGACGATCCAGAGCCCCATTCGACTTCGATCGGCGATCCAGCCCCTTCGACTTCGACAAGCTCTCTCTCGCCTTTGCCTTCGCAGAGCGCTCTCTCTCCCTCACCTTCTCTCTCTTGCTCGCGATCGCGATCGATCGCGATCGTCTCCCTCTCTCTTGCTTCTGATCGCGATCGTCTCGCTTCTGTCTCCTCTCTCTCGATTCTCTCTCGTCTATCCTTTTGTCTTGATTCATATATAACATTATAACTATTGTATAATAACTATTATTATTATTATTATTATTATTATTATTATTATATATAATATATATTCATATATAACATTATAACTATTATATAATAACTATTATTATTATTATTATATATTCATATATAATATATATGAATAATAACTATTATTATTTTATTATATATTATATAATAGTTATTATAAATATACTTATAATATGTATTAATAGTATATAACATAAATATACTTATTAGATAATGGATAAAACATATTACAAGATAATATATATTTATACATATTAATAAATAAAAAAATAAACATATGTATGTAAAATAAAATAAAATAATTAATTACAACACATTATTTAAAAATATAATAAATAAAATAATTAATATGTATTAAAATAAAAATATTTATTAAAAAAATTAAAAAATTTGCCGTGTCCCCTGCCGTGTCCGTGTCCCCATTTTTTAGAAATTTCCGTGTCCCGTGTCCGTGCTTCATAGTTTATTACAAATGGAAGACAACATTGAGCAAAACAAGAATAATATTATATACTTATAGCCTTCTTTTTCCCTCCATTTCTTATCACACAGTTTCCCTTTCTTTTTTTCTTTTTCTTTCTTGTTCAACACTATGTTAGTTACTATTAACTGATCACTGAGTAAACTTTCAGATCTAGATTCAAATCTAATTCATGACTAAGATCCGACACTACTAAACGTGTTTTTATACGTTAGGCGATCACTTCAAATCCATATTTTATTTTGTAATGTAAAAACAGAGATTAAAGTACCACAATTATCTGTTACAACGATGAATGGATTGTGAAGGTAATTAGTAATGTTTGTTTGATAGTGATTACTTTGATTATTATTATTTTTTTGGTTGCAATAATACCTGTGTAGAGGTTTTCTTTTTTCATGGAGGTTTTTTCCCTCCCTACTTGGAGGTTAGTTTTTTTCCCTATGTGGAGACTCGTATCCTTCCTATGTAAAGTTTCTCTTTATCCCTTTTGAGATTTATCTTGTACTCTAATATACTTTATTAGATGACTTATTATTGGATATACAGTATATTAAGTCTCCTGCTTTCTTAAAAAAAAAAAATAATTGTTAATGAGTGATATATGAAATTATATTTACTAATAAAATTACTTACTATGTATGACATTACTTACCATCTAAACATCGCAAACTGACCTCCAATCATTGGCAAGCGCTATCCCTCTTTCAACATGTGCTACATCTAGAGTCATATTCTAGACAAGGCACTGGTCATCATATCTTTTATCTCACTTCAACAGTCAATGTAATTGCTTGGTATCATTTGTCTGTGTTGCAGCTTCAACTTCAACAAGAGAACACCTTAAAGATGCAATGATCTCCGATGCTTCATCACCAAACCCCATGTTGGCCAACCTTGATTCTGTTTAGCCTGTCAACACTGCCACTCTTAACTGTTTGCATTCACAATCCGCTGCTTTTGTTGGAGTAGAGATACAATATTGGAAGAATTACAACACAAATCATGGGCAAAAAGAGAAACTTATCAAGGCCACAACAACCAATCTTAAGTGGTTCAAACAATATATTGCAAGACACAAATTGCACACTGAAATGAAACTTCTGCAGTGGCAAGGCAATGAGAACTGTTAAAAGGATCAAAATCAAAGGGATGATTTCCTGTTAAACAAAAATGATGACTGCCATAAAAACATACATCTGAAACATCAATATCAAAATTCTAACTGTTCGGAATACCTCAAAACTCCATATATTAGGTTCTTATGTTTTTATGGCAATATCAGAGGGAATGTAAAGTTAAAAAGCAGTAAACACCAGATCTGATGACAGCTTAAGATTAAGTAATTTCATGCCTACATTCCTGGTGAAATATAACTTTGATAATTGAGAAGACACACAGGAATAGTTTGTATGTTCACCATGGTGTTGCCTTATAAGTTTTATGACGTCAACAGCAAAAAGAATTGCAAAACCCTGTCTTCAAAAATATTTTGATAGTTGACTGCTTTAATTACAAAGAAATTATCAAATCTAAACATAGATTACTACAAGGCAACAACAAAAATAAATTCCAAAATATCAAATACAAAAAAGAAAATGGGAGATAAAATAGTTGTTTTGAAACAATATACTTCTTTTCTACAGATAAAAACCAGAAATAAAGAAAATGAACAAATGAAGAGCCCAACAAAATTAAACAAACAGGGTTGGCGAAAATAGAGAATTCAACAAACTGTCTACTACAGAGCCAAAATGGAGAAAATAAAGAAACAACTCTGGACAAACAGTAACAATGTGATATGAAACAGTATACGAAACAAGATTATTATTGTTATCCATAGTTTTGTCAAACTATAGGAGTTTAGAACCATTAGATTCTGGATTCAATTGGAAATTGAGTGATTCATGTGATTCAATTTGCAATTCTCTACAATTAATTGCTATTCACATCAATTCAATCGATTATGTTTTTATTTTTGTTTACATAGTGCATGAAACAACATTGTTTTCGCCTCTCTAGCAAGAAATATAATAGAGATTAATTAGTCGTATTACTACATATGGCTTTATACGTATATATATTCATTTTAAACACAATGCATGTATTTTCTTTTTTATGTATATATTAATATTAATATAAAAAATTATATATTATATTAACAAAAGTGAAGCATATTAATATAAAAAATTATATATTATATTAACAAAAGTGAAGCTTACTCTCCACGATTCAATTCACAATTTCATAACGGCATTAGAGTCTAAGAGAGGTAGTGGGGAGCATATGGAGCCGTTAGTACTTGCCATCACTCTTAAGTTGCAACCTTTATTCCCTCTCCACATACATAAAAATAAATAAATTAAGATATTACAGAATTAAAAACTAACCAAAAAAATAACTCAAGTATTCAAGTCTCCAACTCCAACGCAAATGACTCCACCAGCTAGCTAATACTGATAAACTAATCTTTATAAAACAGTTTCACATAACTATATAGCATTGAAAAATCAGCAATTGCAACAGTCCACTTGCCCCCTTAAAAATTGAATTAGTAAATCATTTTGTAGCAGCAACAAAGCAGGTATTAACATAAATTACATTGTTCTTGGATCACTGATAACTGCACATGGCATATCTTTATTGTATAATCACCACAACAGACTTGCTAAGCATTCACAATAATTCGACAACAAGTCTAATAGGATTTCAGAAACAAGGTACTCCTATATGTCACTTGAATTTAGTTCAACAATCTAACAAGCAAATTAACATGACAATTAAGCGACATGTTCTTTTGTCAATTCTCACAGAACTTGCCATTTGACATAGATGAGACAAGCAACAATAAGTGAAGAAAAATTATTAATGTTGCACCATGCTCGTAAAGCCTGAAATATAAGTAAAACAACAGGCTATGTATTTTGGTGCACAAAATTCTAATCTATTTACCAAGTAAATGAAGATTGGAATAATATCCCAACCCAGTAGGCTAATCATGCAGGAGTAAAGAACTCCCAGAAAAAAGAAAAAAAGAAAAAAGGAGTATATATCCTACCAACATGCAAAAACACTAAGCATAAGTCAGCAATGTAGCAAATTATCTACCGCAAAAACATATTTAGAAACCAACAAAAACATTAAAAACTCTTAACAAAATAACCATGTGCAAATCATTCCTTGCATATAAATTACCATATCACATCCTACACATTGTAACATGTATGTTAAGATGCCACATCCCTTTAGTCTGACTATGATTCAAGACACAACCTGTAACGTTGTGAGCAAATACTTCATCTATACCCTCATGCACCAATGAGAGGGTTGTGGTATCAGGATCTACAAGAAGACTCGGGATAGATAATAACCAACAAATGCACTTAGTTATTCACCAACATAATTGAAACATGTAGCAAAGCAATCAGAGAACTTTGAAGACCATTAATGCTACAATTCCACATTGGAATTCAGATCAGAAATCTTCATCATTTTGGTTTGCTTTTCCTAGGGTAACCGGTAATGGCACAGAGAAACAAGAAAAGAAGAAAAATGGCCACCGATACCTAAAACTTTGTTGCTTTTGGTTTTAAATACTTTAGCAAGGCATAAAATCAGTGACCAAATAGCACCTTTGTCAAACTAATGAAAAGCGTGGATATTTTCAAAATGGTAACAAAATTTCAAACCATTTGACAATGAGCAAAGTTCAAGCAGCAATTTTTACAACACAGATAATATTTTTTTCCATCGTCATTATAGAGGACAAATTGCAACGCAACAAAAATGTCAAATATACCAGTCAAGCCATAAAGCGGTAGTGAAAAAATTACTCTTGTGAAGCATTCATATATCAAAGACTAACAATCCATCAATAACACTAAAAAAAAAATCATTAAATTAACAAATAACATGTATTCACTGGAGCTAGCAACTATGATAACCGAGAGACAGCAGTTGCATCCTTATCACTGCAATTACTGAGATTTACAGACTTTACCGGATACTAAGAAACAAACTTTCATGGAAGCACACCCCCAATAACCTAAAACCGAAAAGGTTACCAAAATATATAGGAATATAATCAAGCACCCCAATAAAAATAATCGCCTTGCATATCCCCTAGACGGAGTAAAATAAGTTTCAAAAAATTGATTCAAGTTTCCATTTAACCAAAAATACAACACATTCTAAAATAGTAAAATCAAACCAAAGCAATCAAAGAACTTGAAGACCATTATATATATATATATATATATATATATATATATATTTGTGTTCCACATGGCAGCTTCAGATTAAAGAACATCATTTCACTTGGCTCTTTGTTTTTTCAAGTCATCTCTAGCACTACCCAAAAACCCAATAATGAATCAAAACATTTTCATAATTACATTCAACAATGAAAGTACAATTATAACTAACTAGGCAATCACATACTAAAATAGTAAAATCTAAGCAAAGCAATCAGAGAACTTTGAAAACCATTATATATATGTGTTCCACATAGAGCTTCGGATTAAAGAACTTCATCATTTTGCTTCGCTTTTTGTTTTTTCAAGTCATTTTCTAGCACTATCCAAAAACCCCCAATAAAAGAAAAATCGAAACTTTTTGGAATATTAGCCTAGAAAACAAGAAACGAAAAACCCAGATTCATATGATCTAAAAAACAGAAAATAAAATAAAACTTTTACACAAAGAGCAAAGTAGAAATGCGTGATCAACTCGGCAAACATAGTCAAATGCTTGTGCAAATCATCGACAAAATTAGAATAGTTCACAAGATTTACCGTTTTTTGTGATTTTGATTCTAATTTATCGAAACAGTTTATATAGATTTGTCGATATAATCGCTGTTCTTCTCTCTTTCTCTCTCATGGCGGCTTTTCTATGGTGTAAGGTTTTTATATATGGATATGGAGATTTTTAGGGTTTTGGCTTTAGGGCGGACCGTCACGATCGATGACTACTTCGACGTCGTATTAGGGTACGCAAAAGGGAAAGCGACGCCGTTTATAGTTGCTGCGCCTTGATTTGCACATTAGAGAATCAGCATAAGCATTGCTGTATTTAGTTGGTGATTCGCATGCATTAAAAAATTATATTTTTTTTTTATATACATGTATTTATTTAAGTTACATTAATCTATCTATTAATATATTTTTTTTACTTTTTATTTATTTTTTTTATTTTTCTATACACTTTTTTATATATAAAAAATCAAAAAATATATTTATTTAGAACATCACAAATCGCCCCTTAATTTAGGGTTATATTAGCCAGATAAGGTATAAAATCACCATTACATGAGGCTAGTTATAACAAAATAAATTTTGACAATATTTGTTTATAAGTTATATATTATTTTATTATTTATTCTAAAGAAAATATGATAATTTTCACTAAGTAGTCAACCATTCAATCATCTACTTATCGATCACCCAATAGATAATTTTCACCAAGTAGTCGATCGCCCGATCATTCACTCGGTCGACCAGTCAATAAAAATAAATGTTTTATAAAATTAAATTTTAGAATAAACAAGTTGATGAAATGTGTAAATAAAAAATGCTAGCTAAAATACGAATGTAATAATTTTATTATAATTTGATTTAAAGTTACTGATTTTGATCTGAATGCTCTAATAATAAACGAAGGTGAAAACAGCAGTACAATAAAAAAAAAAAAAATTTTAACAAAAAAGCATAACAATTACAAAGTGAAAGAATGATAAGTATTACATAAAATTATTAAAATAATTACATATTATTGTTCAGAAATAATAATTTATGTAAATATTTTTTTAAAGGCATACTGAAATAAAATTTCCCCATATAAATATAATAGATACACTTCGCAATATTATTTAATTTCAAAATGGAAATTAAGCAACAGAAACACATTTATGTTTGGTTTGGATTTCAAAAACTTGTTTCCAATTTATTTTTTTTAATATTAAAAATTAATTTGGTGAAAGAAATAAAAAAATAAAATTGTTACAAAATTTTATCTTTTGGGAGGTTACAAATAATTTATAAAAATTTACCTCAAATTAATTTCTATTTAAAAATAAATATATCTAAAATTGTTTTCAAAAAACAAACCAAACAAGGGGCCATCATCTCCGGCCCTAAAGCTCCATCTCCCGCAATAGCACTGAAAGCAAGTTTAGTCCAACTTTGCCTGGGTTGGGCTTATTAGTCTGGGCTTTGGGCTCGCAGTCGAAGTGACCCAATGGGCCTCAGCATTGAATTACTTCACTACATTACATGCATGCATAGCATTACCGAATAATTATTTCATGATTCCGATTCAGTGGTTGATTTCATTTTCGAAATTAATTCGATGGGAAAATAAGAAAAATTTTAAAAGCACTCATTATTTAAAAAAAAAAATTTGGGGCAAAATAGTTTTAAAATATAATTTTGATGTTTATTTTGACCGAACTAGTTATTTTCTAAAAAATAGTATCTAAAAACGAAGCTAAACTTTCGGATAATTCATAGTTATCCACCTTGGACAACTTTTACCTTGCCAAGGAAATAGTTATTTTAAACCATCATTTTTTTTTTTTTTTTGTTTCATTTGTGTGTGCATAATTTGTCACCTCAAAAAAAAAAAAAAAATAGTTTCGCTATTTTAAGGTGAAAGCTTACATAAAAATTCTATAATAGAAATTGCTGCTTTATTATCTATATTTTATTTTGGGTTAAATATTTCGGTTGTGCTTGGTAGTTGCTGCTTTGTATATTTTTTTTCGTTGTTTTGTATCACAGAATTACATAATAGCATATTATTTACTTTCATTAATTTCTTGACAATTATCTCCATTTAAAAAAATTAATCATAAATATTCATGTAAAAAGTGATATAAAACAGTAAAAAAATCAATAATGTATAACATCTCACAATTAAATTTTCAGTGTTTTTCACTAATGATAGAGAGCAAAGTCAGTGTTCATAAATGCAAAGTATACCATTCTGAGAAACTAGCAAGTGCAAAAGTTGACACTGTACTTGCAAAATGGCCCAATGCAAAGGGAATTCAGTGGAAATTAGCAAAGTCCATATCCAGTACTATCACCGCCTCTAAAGTTTTGTCGCCTACAATATGGTAGAGATGTCATGTACACACCCTATTCAATACGTTTCCATATAGCACTTGCCCAAATGTTGCTTTGCAACACATGAAAATTAGCTTAATCCAACTTTCATTAAAAAACTGTCATGAAATCTTATACAAGTCATTCATAAGCAACCAAAGTATGTCCCCATCTCAAAAGGTTGCCACAACCACTTTAGGAATTTGAATAACCCCAACAAGCTATCCCTACCCATCTAACACTTCTCAAACACCAATTTAGTAAAACTAGTACCATCACTACAAGAATTAACACTTTTGGCAACAAAAAAATTGGTCGCTAAAAGTCTATTTTTGGTCGGCAAAAGTTATCCGCGACCAATTTTTTTTGTCGCTAGTTTGGTCGCCAATTGAGGGTCGGCAAAAGTAATTCGCGACCAAAATTTTCGTTGGTCGGGAAAAGTTACATTTGCCGACTAAATTTTTGGTCGCTAAATATTTATTTACTGCGACTAATCCATTTTGTCACTAAAATATTTTGGTCGCGAAAAGTTGCCTTTTACCGACCAAATTTCTTAGTCGCCAATTGTCACATTTCGCGACCAAAAATTAGTTTGGTCGCCAATTGTGACATTTCGCGACCAAAAATTTTGGTCGCCAATTGTGACATTTTGCGACCAAAATTAGTTTGGTCGCCAATTGTAGCATTTCGCGACCAAAAATTTTGGTCGCCAATTGTGACATTTCGCGACCAAAATTAGTTTGGTCGCCAATTATCACATTCCTCGACTAAAAATTTTGGTCGCCAATTGTGACATTCTGCGACCAAAATTAGTTTGGTCGCCAATTGTCACATTTGGTCGCCAACATCCAACAAAATAAACCTGTAATTTATAATAATCCATCCAATTTATTCAATATAATCTGTAAAGGATATTACAAATCCGAATAGGGGGAAAAGAAAGAAAATATTTGTAACGCCCTCAAAATAACAACATTAAATCCATTAATAAAGATATGCATTGATATGTAAAAGATCCACATTCTTCCATTTATCAGAATTCTATTACATAAGTATTACAACACATTATTAAAATTTATAATTAAAATTAGCAACTATTATAAGTTTTCATCCACAAATAATTCCAAACTACATATTTCATCTAACATAAAAATTTAAGACATAACAAATACTTGTTATTATGTTTAAAATTTTTATCCATGTACATCAACCGAAAAATATAACTAGTAGTCTACTAAATATTTTCTATACACACCCATCCAAAAATATAACTACTATTGTATCCAAAAATATAACTGCTAGTCTACCCTTTTTCTACCCATATCGAATCTCTAATCTCCTGGACTGATAGTCAGTGCAGTTTGAACAGGAAACAAGTTCTCTGTAAGTGCTGGATGCAGGAAACCATCCTTCCAAATCATACTTCTTTGCAGCTGTATCATTCAAAGCACCGGAAACAATAGCCACAATTTGATAGGGTAGTTTTAGCTGCAATAGAGAGAATTATGTCATACTTGTAGGAAAGAATTTTTGCATAATTAAATAGAGAAAAATCAATTCGTCATCAGCAAGAGCCCATATATAGGACCCTCGAATTTCTCTGGCGTCAAGTGGCAGACTTTTTAGCATTAACCAAACGAAACAACCAATTCCAAAATCACTCATCTTACATGACATTACAAAACCTGGCAAGATAATCTATATGAGTAGTATAAGAAACATTATCAAGCATCTCCAAATTAAAAAAAAAATGAATATAACGAAGAAATAACCAAAAATTATACACATCATTCCCCTACAATTCTGAGGGCAGGAAAGCTCTATACCGTCTTGTAAAACTCTTCTGAGTTCGTTATCATTTCCTCGTGCATGTCCCAAGAGTCATATATGTTAAACCTACTATATGTGATTTAAAACAGTTACGCATATATAAGGTAAAAAAGAAGCATAAAAAAATTAATTTTGTGAACCAAGTGGATCTAATTGGGCTGATCAAAATTTTGTGCCTTGTTAATTGCCTTGTTAAGAGTCAAGGAAGATTTCTCCTTCCTAGACTATGACCTCCAACTCACAAAATATATATATATAATTGTTTGATCTAAATTCATTATGAGTGACATTCATTTAGGTCACCCTTAATGAATCTATCACATATTGAATTTGTTTGCCTATATTTCTAACGTGTTTGGCAGTAGGGGTTAGAAACAAAAAGTATTTCTTGTACACATTTTTGAAGTATCCATGTAGGCATTTTAGCTACTGCCCAAAAGAAGACAAATAGACGAAAGAAAGAAATAATACAGAGTTGGTCCTTTTCCAGAACAACTATGTCATCAAAACCATTACTCCCTAATCTCGTGACAATCAGTACCAAAAAATTACCAGAGACCCTATTGATGGAGTGTAATTAAAATCATCAAGAATAAAAAATCTGAAGGAGTATAAAAATATGATCCAACAGTGCTAACTTGGTGACATGAGAACAAATACCTCTACTAACCAGAGAGAATAAGACTGAAAAGCAAGCAGTCCACATGAAAATATAAACTTATAAATACATGGTGTAAAATTTTGGCACGTGATAGAAATAACTTGTTAGAAGTGGAAATATGACAAAGAAATAAAGTAACATACATTAAATTCAGTGTTGGGTTTCCGTAAAAGCGTCTCCACATAACTGGCCAATCCCACAGCTGTTGGAAACAACTTAAAGTCAGATCAATATTCAACTTTCTGTACACATCAAATTAGGGATGAGCACCAAACATAAAAAAAACTAAAATTAGATGGCTTGGTCATGACCATTTTAGCTCAAAGGATAAGAAACAGATAACAAAAGGGAAAAGGATGACTTGACGAGAGTTAGTATTTATATTTACATAAATCACATCGAACATTAAAGGTACTGACCTTTTGTATGCTACAATTTGATACAAACTGTAGATTGTTAGGCTGAAACAGTAAAACTAAATCAGTCACCAAAAGCAAGAATGAATAACTATGTGAGCATAACTTTTGTGGTATATATATATATATATTTTTTGTGAATGATAGAAGGTTAATTTAGCCATGACATTTCACTGCAATGCTCACTAAGCTAAGGCTACATTCCGATCCTCAATGCACAAGTCAGAAGAAGAAATCTAGAAAATAACCATCTTGCGGTGTACAAGAGTTCATCAATTAAGTGAAATTCCAAATAATTAACTGCGACTGTGCTAAATCGCTATAAGCTGAGAGCCTGAAAGGTTGGCTATCCTTAAAAATTGTTATTCATATGAATGAAGCGAGAACAACATTTTCGCAACAAACTGCATTTAAAGTCCTAATATCAGCAACTATTTTCTTTCTTCATTAAGACATTGACAGAGTTTGGGAATTTCGAAATTTACAGTTTTATTTTCACTTTTTCAAACAAGCAGAAAACCTAAGCATTAATTTCTCCCAATTGATCATGGTGTTTCTAACTTTATCATGAGGTAAACAGCTCACTAATGCACAAGAATACCTAATGATAGAACAATTAACAAGAAAAACATCAATTAAACACCAACCGTGTAAGAAAATCGAGCAATACAATAGGCAATACTTACACGGTTGTATTGCTCAATTTCAATATTTAACTATACTAGGCAATACCCCTCCTTGACTAATTAACATCAAACTGGGCATTCAACCGTGTAAGAAAATCGAGTAGTACAACAGGACAATCAAACAATAAACCCAAACTTACCAGTGAGCTCATAGGAAGTTTCTTCATCAATGTCACAGCAGAAACCGAAATGGGTATCCCAAGAAGCATCATATATACACATCTGAGCATCTTTTTCACTGTTGAAACCACAATTGAGACACTAATTAGACACACAACCAAGAAACTGAAAATTAAATTTATGGGTTTATACAAACATACATAGTTGGAACATACCCACCTGCCTAAAACACTTTGTAGAGTTTCTGGCCGCCGTTTTTAGCGTATGAGAGGAGTCAACTCTTGCTTGTCTACACAACACAAAGACGAGTGGGATGAGAAAGGGATGAGCGAGAGGGTTTTGAAGAGTTTAATCGGCTCCAACTTCTCCACCTAACACAGAGACGAGAGGGATGAGCAAGAGAAAGTTTTGAAGAGTTCAATCACAGCTCCGATTTCTTTACAGGGATGAGACAGAGGGATGAGCGAGAGAAAGTTTTCAAGTGTTCAATCGCAGCTCCGATTTCTTTACAGGGATGAGAGAGAGGGACGAGAGAGAGGGATGAGCGAGTTCAAAGATCCCTCCAAAATAAGGGGGAAAACATGTATCCCTCCAAATCCTCCAAAATTTGTAATTTTATAAATCATGGAAAGAGAGGGAGTTGTAATTTTATAAATCCTCCTAAATTTGAAATAAATTTTTTGGTGATTAAATTTTTGTTGACATAAATTTAATTTTGATTTTGACAAATATTAATATCAAATAATTTTAAATTTTAAATTTTGACATAAATTTAATTTTTTTTGACAAATATTTTAATTTTATTTTCCATTCGGCGACTACATTGTTTTAGTAGCCAAAACTAAATATACGGCGACTAAAATATTTTTAGTCGCTAAAAATAAGTTTTTTGGCGACCAAAATTTTGGTCGCCAAAAGATAAAAAATAATTTTTTATTTTCCATTCGGCGACTACATTGTTCTAGTAGCCAAAACTCAACATACGGCAACTAAAATATTTTTTGTCGCTAAAAATAAGTTTTTGGGCGACCAAAATTTTGGTCGCCAATTCCACAACCAACTTATTTTTGATATTACGCGACCAACTTATTTTTTGGTCGCCAAAATGTGACCTTCCGCAACCAAATTTGTAGTTGGTCGCCAAAATCATACCACTTTCTGCGACCAACTCATTTTTTGGTCGCTAAAATATAACCTTCTGCGGCCAATAATATTTGGTCGCCAAAAATAATGATCATTCGCGACTAATTAATATTTGGTCGCCAAATGTCATTTTTTCGCGACCAAAATTTTTTTGGTCGCCGAAAGTGGTCGCCAAATGTGTAAATTCTTGTAGTGCATATAGAAGTTCAAGCTTAAAGTGAAAACTTGGTGTTTATGTCACAAATTTTCTCTATTCCTAATTATCTCTTGGACTATCTCTATGTACCCACAAGAGTAATTATAAATAGATATACAGAGAGATTTATAAATGATGATATATAAAAAGATAACACACCTAATATTTTTTTCAATTGCACACATAGTGTGCTCACCCTTCTAATTTATACTATGTCAACATTTACTTGATATGGACAAAATTGTGAAACGCTTTTTACATACCTAAATTACTCCTATCAGCGCTTCTACGTAGCTCGAAATAGAACCAGCCCGAAATGGCTCAAATTCAAAAATGACGTCGTTTTTGAATTTTTTTTTTCTTTTTCTTTTCTCTCTGAAATAGAGAGGGAAGAGAAGAAAGGCCCAAAGACAATATTATACATGTCACTTATTCTTCAGCGCTGCTATGTAGCTCGAAACAGAGCTGGCCCGAAATGGCTCGAATTCAAAAACGACGTTGTTTTTGATTTTTTTTTTCTTTTCCCTCTGAAACAGAGAGGGGAACCGAGAGAGAGAGAGAGAGAGAGAGAGAGAGAGAGAGAGAGAGAGAGATACGACAACAGTAACACATTATCATCAACAACAACCAACAATCACACACAAAATATATATATATATATATATATATATGTAGAATCTGAAAAAAAATTCAACAATTTTTTCTTTCTTTTTCCTTCATCTTCATATCCAAATCCACTAGGAAAAAAAAAGAGCAGAGAAAATAGAGACTTCGATAGTGGTGGTGGTGGATCTACATTCACATCATCATCAACAACAACCAACAATCACCACAAAAAATTTAAAAAAAATTGTAGAATCTGAAAAAGGCAAGAGACCCATCGGCAGATCTGCAGATCTGGACGACAATACCCACTGGCGCCACCACCGGCAGATAGAGAGAGAGAGAGACGCCGCCATCACCGTCTCCTGTGTGTGTATGCACAGATCTGTGAATACACACACAGATCTTCCTTCTCTTCCTCCTCCACCATAACCTCCATCACCGTCTTCTTCTCCGCCATCACCGTCTTCTTCTTTTCCTTCTCATTCTCTCCATCTTTTCTCATTCTTCTCTCTCTCTCTCTCTCTCGCCTCTTCTCTCTTCCTCTTCTCTCTTTCCTCTTCTCTCCCTCGTTCTTCTGTCTGTATTCGAAAGCAAGAAAAAGAAAAAGAATACCCAAAACGACGTCGTTTTGAATATTCGAGCCACTTCGAGCCAACTTTTTTCAAGCTACGAAGTATTATTCTTATTCCTATCTACCAGTAACAACACTTCACTCCTTTGGATAATCGGTGGGTAGTGAGAGAAAAAATAGGAGTATGGGTATTTATTTTAGCTGAGAAAATATGGATAGTTAAGCGAATCTTTTTGGTAAGTTTGAACTCAAAAAAATGCAATGGTGACACACATATTGCGTGTATAACCACGAGTAGTATAAATATACATGGGATGTTGTGGCACAAGGTATGTACATTTGTGCATAATATAACTGAATCAGCTATATAAATTGATTATTTTGAATAGGAAGATTTTTATAATTTTACTATTATAGGTAAGAAAAAAATAAAGTAAAAAGTAAATATAGTTAAAATAATTTTGAAATTAAAAAAGAAAAGAGGAAAGAGTATAGTATAGTATAGTATAGTGTAGTATAGATGTATATGTCTTTGTATTTATCAAAGCTACTTACTCGTACTATATGCAAGGAAAACGTGATGGAGATCAAGATTTATCGTTATCATAGGTAATAAGAAATCAGACATTGCTTTTCAATAAATAGAAAGAAAAAAAAAGAGCGCAAAAGTTATCTAAAGATAAGTTGCATGTAAAATATCCAAGAACAATGTTCCTTTTTGATTTGGACAATCAATTCATTCAAAGTAGTGAATTGATGTTTAACTAACTTTTAATCTAGCTTTGTTATATTTTGCAGCTTTGTGCATGGTTTGGTCAATGTGGGTTCTTCGATTGACTATGACATTTGGTGATTAGGACACATAATTAAAAAAATTAAAAAATTGTTAATAATTCTTGATTTAATGCAGTGTTATAAATTTGAAGTACTTAAACTTTTTGCGTAGTGAATTGTTATGGAATGAAAAATGTTGGATTGTTTTAATCTTCTAATTTTGTTGTGATCATGTTAATCAACAAACTATGTAAGGGACAATGGCCTGTAATAACTTACATCGAACAATTTATTTTAAGAATATTTTTTTAAATACTTTTTCAAAAGTTGTTCGGCCTTTTCTCCCCTCTTGAAATTTTGTGAACCTGGTCATATCCATGGAGGGGGAAAAGGGTAGGCACTATCTCTTTCAAATTAACAAAATATTGTGAACAATTTTCTTGGATTTAACACATGAAAAAAGAGTGAAAATGTGGGAAAAAGCTAGGGGAAGATCCCTCACATTTCCAAGGAGTATCTTCTAATAATGAGTAGAAGGAAGATAAGTTTGGCTAAAAGTGAACCAAAAGAGGCTTAAAAAAGGAGAAGTTAGCTATGGAGGAATCATTCAACAACACCTCATCATGATGCTATGCCATGATGATGTTTGGATAGAATTTTATGCTATATTTATCATATTTTTTGAAATATGTTAACGAATTGTTTAATATTTAAATTTATTTGAAAAGTATTTTGAAAATTGTTTAATTTTTTTTAATATATAT